TCTTTGTGCTGTCCTCTGTATGCGTGTATGATGTGTGAATGTGGCCCACCCTATAAACGGGTTTGTGACTTTGGTTCACAGGTGCCCACTGGGTATCGCAAAATGAGCAACAATTCTGGCATAGTATAGGCAAAAGATTCAAATTCAGTGCCTGCCATTGGGGAAAAAACAAAAAAACATTTTCTAAGATATTCTCTTACTCCAAAAATGTTTTCAATTAAGGAATTTCTGATTTTACATATCAATACACAACTCCTACTTTAATTCATTTAGCCTAAAATTTTATTTTTATATTTGAGTGGTAGTAAAGTGCATGCCTTTATATAAATTTAAGAAATATGTAGAACTTAATTGAAATCGACAAAATGGAGAGTACCTTATCAAACTTAGTGCATCCTTTCCTAAGGGTGACAAAGAATGCTCAACTTGCGAGTTCAATAAATTGTTAGACATCCATTTTATTGATAACAGGAATTTCAATCCGATCACCGCTTTTTTCTTAAGGTGACACAAGGCTTTCAAAATCGAAAATTTTGCACAAAATACCGATTTTCACATATTTATATAGTAGAAGTTCTCCTGATTATATTGCAAAAAGAATTTTATGATTCGGTTAAAAATTGATGAAGTTATGATGATTTTTGTTAAACCACACCCTTTTTACGTCTACCAAAGTAACTGTCAAATTTAGTTTCGTTTTCAGTTAGCTTTTAGTTTTTGATTGTGTAGCCATTTTTTTTTCTGTTTCTGAAATTTATCAAACTTTATTTCTATGTGAATTTGTTGGCAACATTAACAGATACTGTAACTGTGATTGTCTCAAATGTTTTGTTTGTTTACAAACTATCATAGCGAATGTTTAGGCATCGATTTCTTTCAAAGTTATTTTAATTTCCATCGTCGTTTGTTATTTTCTTTTTTGTTTTTTTACGTTATTAAATTGCCCTTTTGTTTTACTCTATTACGTTTTATTGTTTTTTAAATTTGTTACATAATTACTTATCCATGAACAGGAAGGAAAGGGTTGTAATGCTAAAGTAATTACTTCTCCTGAATTAGATATTGAAAGTGTGGTTTTCTCGCAACCAAATGATACTGCTTCGACCAACACAATAAACTGATTGATTTGGGATCACTGAACCCTTCTCAAAACTGTTGCGTGCTCTGAATGCAAATCTCAAACATTGGAATTAAATTCAGGATCAGCTTTTGTATATTCTTCAAAACTCCAACTGTCACTTGGAACTTGTGGAAATATTGCAGGCTCTTCCTTTACCAGTCAGCGTTCTCATAATAGCCATTGCTTTGACATAAACAACAGAATTGTTTCAGCTTTAATTGAAATGGGCAAAGGGCACGCTTTTTCAATGGTGTTGGGAATGCCAACAATAGACCTACATATCGACAGTGTTTGAACTCACTGGTTAGTTTTAAATCCCAATTCAAACTTGACATTTGGAAAACGTCACAAGAAGCTGTTAGGGATGCATACATTGAAGCTAACTCAATGCTAAACAGTGAGAGTATTAGACATTTGCGTCTCCTATGATGGGACATGGCAAAAACGTGGCCACACATCATTATATGGCATAGGAATAGTAATTGAAGTTGTGACAGGTTTGGTAGATTTTGAAAATTTTATCCAAATATTGTCACGAATGTACTACAACAGCAATTGACCTTGAGCAAGATACCGCAGACTTCCAAATTTGGTATGATTCGCATAAACCAAATTGTGAAAAAAATTTCAATGGAACTTCAAACACTATGGAAATGCACGCTGCTTTATTATTATGGAAGCGCTCGATAACTTCAGGTAAATTTCGATATACAAGTGTTCTAACTGATGGGGATTCTAAAACTTTTGAAGCGGTGAATGCTGCACGTGTTTATGGAAAGGATTTTAAAATATACAGATGGATGACAAAATAATACGAACACCTGTGAAAAAGTGAGAACTTCTTGCAGCGAACATTTATGGGAGAGAGCAATTCGTAAACCCTTGGTGACAGCAACCAATGCTTTCAAGCGCCGTCAGTGTTGTAGAGGCCACAAAGGCCGGTCCCCGCAGCAGTGGCAACAGATAATACGGCCCGATGAATCATCCTTCACCTTATTTCAGACCACCGGACGCGTTTATGTTTGGAGATCACCCAAAGAAGCGTTTAATCCTGAATGCCTCTTACCTATTGTGAAACATGGAGGTGGTTCCATTATGGTTTGGGGTGCGATATCTTGGCGTGGTCTTGGGCCACTAGTACGTCTGCGTAGGAGAATCAAATCTAATGACTATCTAAGTGTTTTAGCGGATCATGTTCATCCTTTTGTACAGACTGTATTCCCTGAAGAGCGACCGATTTTTCAAGACGACAACGCCTCTATCCACACCGCTAGGTGCGTTCAAACATGGTTCGAAGAGCATGACAATGAAGTTGAGCATCTCGCTTGGCCCCCTCAGTGTCCGGACTTAATATTATTGAACATTTGTGGCAATATTTGGAGTGTAAACTTCGTTCCCGATTCCCACCTCCATCAAATCTTTTGGAATTAGAGGCCGCTTTGCAAGAGGAATGGCCTAATATTCCTTTAAACGTTGTCCATGACCTTTATGCATCGACCCCGCGTCGTATTAAATCTGTAATTCAGTCAAAGGGTGGTCCAACTCCCTATTAATAAAGATTTTCTGATGTATGGTTTTTCTGTGGAAGTTATATCATTTACGGAATTTTTATTATTGATTCCTCTTATTTGAAATATAGTTAGGAAATATATTTTAAGTTATAGTTAGGAAATAGTTTTTTTGATTTGGGATCGATGTAAATAATACTTTTTATATGAATTTTAATTTGAACCTGAAAAAATTTGCATGTTAATATTTTCAATATTATTCTTGTATGTATCGATTTATTTATACTTAATAAATCTCAGATGCTCATAAATCAGATGCTTTTGGATATTAGATAGTAGGACCCTATTTTGAATATTTCTGAATATTAGCTACTTTAATCTTATTAAAATTGATTTAAATTTTTATTTAACCTAAAATTATTTTAATGTATACTTGATTTTTCTTTTATTTTAAGATGGTTTGTTTAGATTTAATAACTAAAGAAAATTTTATTCTCATATTTGAATTGTTGTGAACAATGTTTCATTATTTTTCACTATCAGTAATGTTTTTGTGTATTACAGAAATATGGCAACTTCCAAAATAAATAATAAAAAAAACAATGGCAGCCGAAGGCTTTAAATGGGTGACTGAGATGGAAAGCACTTTTATAGAGCTGTTCAGAAAATATGAAAATATTTGGAATGTTAAAAATCCTTTATATAAACACAGAATGCTTCGACGAGTAAGTTTCGACGAAATAAGTAAGAAGTTGGTTCTCAATTATCCTCTGCATGCAGCAGAATTTACAATTGGTGAGTATTTATATCTTGATTAATAGTTTTTACATTGTGATTATATTTGAATTGACATATAATTAAATTTTATGTTAAAAACTAAAATAAGCTTGTAAAAAATGGATGCTAAACATTAATTTATTTTTATATGATATTTTATGATATCAATAATATCAATTTGTGCAGTTGCAGAAAAGTGTGAATAAATTACACCTTCAACATCTGAAAAAATAAATACCTATGTAAATAAAAGTATATTTACTTAGGATATTAATTCTGAAATGTAACAATTCTTACTATAATAATTAGAAACAGGGCATTTATGGAATATAATTTTAAATAGCTTTACCAATTTCTAATTATAAGAGACCCTGTCAAAAAAATTGGGTTTTTATGTGTTCAGCATATTAATGATATATTAAAAGAGATACAATAGTAAAGAAACTAGACTTAAATTCATCTTACATGGGCTGAATTATAAAATATTTAATTGGTGATGCACTATAATTTGATAGCTTACAATACACATAGTATTGTGACAGACTTTGTAATCATCAAATTATCATACATAAATACCATTTAAAATACATTACAAACTTAACATTTACTTTCGTTAAGGTTTCATTAAAATAATAAAAGTAAAATACCAATCTTAATATTGATTTCCTTGCTCAATTTGAATATAATCAGCATATGTGATTTTTTGTATTAAATGTTATGTAGTATGTTAGCAATGAAAAAAAAATTTAAGTTTCTTTTTTATATTAATGAATAGAGAAAAATCATAACTGTAATGTGGCATAAAATTCAAGGAATTTTATTATTGTGGGATATACATATATTCAAACAAGATGCATACAAAATATAAGCTAACATGTGTACATACCCCCGAATTTTTAAATTAAAACAGTATTAACACTCGATCAAAATAACCGTACATAGATAGATACATCCAAATATTTTGGAAAATGTCGTGATATTGTCAAACCTTCCTTTTATTTTACTAACTTTAGCTCTTTTTTTTTATAGAAAAGCTACAAAGCAAATATTCCAAGCTGAAATATCAGTTTCAGCGAAATATTAAAAAAATTAAACATCTTAAAAGTGGTTCTGGCTGTGAAAGTATCACTGTGCCATGGATGCATTTTAATGCTCTACAATTCCTTGATGGAGTTGACGAGGCAGACGACAGCTTCTCTACTTTGGATGGTGATAAGCATAAATCGATCCAGGTATAATTTAATAAGTTTCCTATTTTATTTCAGTTTTAACTAAAACTGCTTATTTTAGTTTTAACTAAAATACTATTTTAAAGTTTAAGAAATTATTTTGTTACTTTTCCTGATTACAAAGGTCTATTTGTGATCATAGTAAATTATTGGTACTTGCTGTTCGAAAGTGTAAAGCGTCAGGTGCACAGTAATTAAAATGTTTCATGAAAACCACTGTTATTTACAAGATATTTTTAAATATTCAATAAATCGCACCCTTGCTACAAAAGTGCCACAACTCAAAAATNAAATGTTTCATGAAACCCACTTTTATTTTCAAGATATTTTTAAATATTCAATAAATCTTAAAAATTAAATGACTATCAACATTAAATGAAATCAGTTTTCGCGATGAACTTTTATTTATTATAGAAAAGGATGTATACTGATTTTAAATATACATACATGTGTAAATGTATATTAGATAATAGATAGAGATATATATTAGCGATGCAGTACTGAAACCGTTATAGCGATGCAGTACTGAAAGTTTTTGAAAGGGCCCCCGCCAAATATTTTTGCTTCAGGGCCACGAGGGGTGAAGTTACGGCACTGCAACAAAATTTTTTTTTCTTAATTACCATATAGTCTTAATGAGTTATGTTTAATTTTGACAATTAATGCATTAAAAATTTTTTTTTCAGAACGAACTGACCTTCATACATAATAAAGATGAATCCATTTCACATTCTGCCGGGATTGATCCTGATGTGAGCTTCATTTCAATGGAATGTTTTGAGTAAGATGAGAGAATTCCTGAACGTTAGTTAGTTAGTTAGTTAGTTGGATTTTATTGGCACAAGAGCCAGAAATGGCTATGCTGCGCCAGGCACTAGGTTAATAGTCGGACTCTAGGTCAAACTACTGATTTATTATTTAAAGCTGAGAATGTATTATTTTAAAGCAGAGAATATAGTCCAATAGTTTTGATGAACTTTAAAAGGTTGTGATGTATAGGGTCACCAAGTAAAGATTGAAGATTAGGATAAAAGCTACCAAAAAGTTTGTTCCTCAAATGTTTGAATCGTTCGCAGTCTGTTAAAATATGTTTAATAGTAATGTCGACATGACATAGAGAACAACTAGGTGCAGGTTCAGATTTTAGTAAATGCATGTGAGTAAAACGAGAATGACCAATGCGCAGTCTATTGATAATAACCTGGGTTTTGCGATCAATATGTATTGTTTTAAAGTTGTCAAGATTAGGATAAATTTCGTGCAGTTTATTATTAGCTTGTTTATACCAATGTTCTTTCCAAGCCTGTTGTATTGTGGATTTACATATGCGTTTGAAATCAAGAGATGTTATAAGGTTATTGCTTACGTTTTGAGTGGTTTTAGCCGTAATGTCAGCAAGGTCATTCCCCCTTATGCCGACATGTGATGGTATCCAACAAAAGTAGATATGGAAACCTTCACCACACAATTCTGTAAAACAACTTTGGATTTTACATATCATGGGGTTTCGCCCGGTGTGAGGAACACTTGATATAAAACTGCGAGAGTCAGTATAAATTATCCACTTGCGGTAAGTTTGGTCAGAGATAAAATTTAGAGCTAGTAAAATAGCGTAGCATTCTGCAGTGAAAATTGATGCGTCTTGGTGCAATTGTTCAGATATAGTAAAATTTTCAATAACCACACCACAACCAACATGGTTATCATGTTTTGAACCATCAGTAAAAATTGGTTTAAAATCATTATAATTATTACGATGTTCATAAAATTTTTGGCTAAAAACACTAGAGTTGGTGTCAGATTTCTTGAAATTTCCAAAAATATCTAAGACACACATCGAGAGATTAACCCAAGGTGGGATAGTCTCTATATTAGTAAAAGCTGCGAAATTGAAAATATTAAAAT